GAGGACGGAGTAGACGGAGGATGGAGTAGACGGAGGATGGAGTAGGCCGAGGATGGAGTAGACATGAGATGGAGTAGACCGAGGATGGAGTAGACACAGGACGGAGTAGGGGGAGGACGGAGTAGACGGAGGACGGAGTAGGGGGAGGACGGAGTAGACTGAGGACGAAGTAGGCGGAGGACGGAGTAGACACGAGACGGAGTAGACACAGGATGGAGTAGACACGGGACGGAGTAGACATGAGATGGAGTAGACAGAGGATGGAGTAGACATGGGACGGAGTAGACAGAGGACGGAGTAGACAGGGGACGGAGTAAACCTAGGACAAAGTTGGACTACTCTTTGGTTATAAATCTTACAGAAGACTCATTTTTCTCCCTTGGAATAGTGGGTGGGTTGAACCACCAACCTTTCAGCTAGCCGCCCAGTGCTTACCCTACTGTGCCACCAGTGCCCCTAACAATACAGACACTACATGCCTGCCGTCCACCCAGGTTCCCCTCAGAGTCACATTGTGGCACACCATGGGCTTCACGCCATCTGCAGGAAGCAGGCTGAAGGCAAGAGGACATGGTAAGAGGAGTGAGCACCCCAACATTCTGTCACCTTAGCTCTATCACCTCAGCCTCCTGGAGATCAGGGCTTCATCTGCCTGGGGTGGGGGCTGTGGAGAGGAGTGGCTGGTCAAAATGGCTTCTGACTGGTCTGAGAGAGGACATCTTTGGAGGTGGACCCTGTCAACCTGGAGAGCAAGGGGCAGCCTTGGTACCACATGAGTCAACAACCAGGAGCCCAGCGCCCAGGCTGGTGCCCCAGGGGATCCTTGCACCAGCTTGCAGGCGGAAACTTGCTCTGGTCTCATACTTTAGGAAATGACCCGGCATTCTCCTATCAGGGACAGAAAACACACCCCCTTCCAGAGGGTGATAGGTTGGGGTTGGAGGCCTGGACACACCCAGGAGTCACTCTGGTTAGCTGGACCTCTGGCTGCAACAACCACAGTGGTGTCAGCGCGCAGGAGTGATCAGCGGCTCTTTCAGACTGAAGAATCCTTGGGCAACTTAGACCTGGGCTCTAAGCAAGGATGCGTGAAATTGTACACATTCAGATTGGTCAGTGTGGTAATCAGATCGGATCCAAGGTAAGTAACAGGCTAGCTACATGGTCACCTTTGGTTGAATGACAGCTGGGTTGTGTACCCTTGTTAAAATCTGATTTAGCAAGCAATATGCTTGGAAACCTGTACAGGGTCGCTATGAGTTGGAACCGACTCCACGGCACATAACAACAACAACAATGCTTCTGGTAGCGTGGTTACGAATTGGGCTGCTAATCTCATGGGCAGCAGTTTGAAACTACCAGCTGTTCTGTGGAAGAATGATGAGGCTTTCTGCTCCCATAAAGATTTACAGTCTCGGAAACCCCACACAGGGTTGCTGTGAGTCGGAACCGACTCCACGGCACATAACAACAACCACAACAATGCTTAGAGATACAGCAACTACTGGGGAGGGGGGTCTTCTAAAAGTTTCTGGAAAATTCCGTTACCTTTTCACTCGATTTTCCCACAAACTTTCTGAAGCCCTCTCGTATTAAAGGCTTACAGGTTCATTTAATGAATGGTAATTTTGCCGATGGTTACATCTGTGTAATGTACAAGTCAACCACTTGTACTTTCTTCCTCTTCTCGTAGACTTCGCATAGCTAAATACTGTATAATTTGATGGAAAATTGTTTTCCATAATTTCTTGGGAAACTCTACATATCAGGTCACTAAAGTGTTTTTTCTTCCTCTCTCATGTTCCTGCTACAAAGTGAGACCACTCAAGTACTGCTGCTATATTTAGTATGCAAGAAAAAATTTAAGAGGTACACCTAAAATGAAGTTTTCTTGTACAGTAGCAGAAATCATTGAACTTCCTCCATCTCACTTTTAATTTATTTTTAGAAAGTACCTAACCCAAGGGTGCCTGGTGATTCCATACAATACGCAAACCACAAGCTCAGCAGTTTGAACCCACCAGTTGCTCTGCGGGAGAAAGTTGACGCTTTCTGCTCCCTCAAAGATTTACAGCCTTGGAAATCCTGTAAAGGTTGCTATAAGTCAGAACTGACTTGACAGCACTTGACAACAAACACACATACACACACACACAGGGGTGCTACCAGTCAGAACCTGCTTGATAGAACTTCACAACCACAACATCCTAATTCAATTGGTGAATACCAAGAAAACAGGGTCAAGGTCTCCAAGCTCCAATTGACTGAAGAGGATCAATTCGACTGCACAGCATCTATCTGACTTGTTCTCTTGGCTATTGGAAAATTACTTTTACGATACAAACTGCAGAATTCTACATCTTTAGCTATTCTATAGGAGAAAGATGCGGCAGTCTGCTTTCAAGAGGATTAAACACAAACCAAAATTAAATCCAATGCCATCAAGTCAATGCCAACTCATAGTGAACCTCTGTAGGGTTTCCGAGGATGTAAATCTTTACGGGAGCAGAAAGCTTCCTCTTTTGTCCACGGAGTAGCTGGTGGATTCGAACTGTTGACCTTTTGGTTAGCAGGCCAACACATAAGCCACGACGACGCCAGGGTCGATATGAGCTAGAAGAGATTAGACGGCAGTGTGGTAGTGGGTCTGTTTTGCTGCTGTTTCATTGGAAGAGTGAAATCTTTTGTTTTAATAATTTTCTTTGTTGCTGTTGAGAATATACACAGCGAAACACACACACCCATTCAACCTCTTCTCTGTGGACAATTCAGTGATGGCAATAAGATTCTCCGAGCTGTGTGATCATCCTCCTTTTCCATCTGATTTATATCTCCTCCTTGAACAAGAACTTGCTGCCCCCAAACCTCCCATTTCATCTTTCTGGTTGCCCTTGTCAATTTGATTCCTTTTGGATAGCTTTGTAAGCCAGCTCAATGTGAAGTCTTTAGCGCAGGTGTGTGTGAAACCTAGAGCAAAGAATATTACTGCTTAAAAAGCCACCATCGTTTTCCTGCCAGGGTGACGATGCCTCACTCCTCTACAGCTGGGAGATACTGTGGAGAGAGGAAATGGAAGTAATGTAGGGCCCAGATAAGGCTCTTAGCTTTCATCCCACAGGCGGGAGGTCCGGTGGTTAGAACTCCGGCCGCTATGGGACCATCAAACCTTGAAAACACATTTCATTTGTAGTGTTACAGAACTCACATGATTGATTCTCCCACTTGCTGCACACTAGCAGGGGTCATTTACTACAAAGTCGTAATGTGCTGGCCAATCGATTCTGACCTCTAGCAACCATGTTATTAAGATGGTGCCTAGAGTGGTGCCAGCATTTACAAGAGAAGGATGGGAAAACGCCCTGGGAGATTTGAACATAAGTGGATATATTTTCATTGCACTTTAATATGTGCTTCTTCCGGACAATCAAAGGAGCCATTTCAGACACGGCTTCCGTGTTAAGAGCTCGCTCGGAGCATCTCTATGTTCATAAATACCGCGCATGTGACCGAGAGTGCACTGTGTTCCTGATGGCTACAAGTGAACAGCGAGGCTTCGTGTTGAATTGTGTGCATACCTAGTTACCAAGATGCTGTGATGGGCTTCTAGGAAGAACCTATAAAAACAAATCCACAAAGTGAAACGGCATATTATTGTGGAAGCAGATAAGGATGCGGTTCATTTTCGTGTAATGGGATCTACACTTAACTGGTTTGGAGCATTATAACGTGGAATTTGAGAAACCCCATCTGATGTAAAATTCGGAAACAACAGCTTTAAGGTGGACAACGGCATGAATTTTAATAGGTGCAAAATCCAATATCTTATTTTATGTGCTTGACGATTTATTTAAGGAATTAGGGTGGGCATAAAATGCAGCCTTCACTTTCAGTGGTTATTTGTTTATTTGTGAGGCGATTCTGACGAAATGGCGGCCCATGAACTTTTCTGGGCTGAAACAACAAGAGCAATACGCTTATGGGAAGTAGATTGCCAGGTCTTTCTTCTGCAGCACCACCGGGTGGGTTTGGACTCCCAACATTTAGGTTACTAGACGAGTGCGTTAGCGCGGTGAGTAAAGGTAAGAAGTCAAATGTAGCATAAAGAGGTCACTTGGGGAAAGTCCTACAGAGAGTCTTGGGGAGGAGTTGGGTAGGTTGACCTGGATGTGCTGAGTGCTGACTCCTCCCCCTGGAGGCTAACTTCCTCCTCTTCTTTCAGTTCTGGGAGGTGATTGGCGAGGAGCACGGCATCGACCCTGCAGGGAGTTACTGCGGCGACTCGGACCTGCAGCTGGAGCGGATCAACGTATACTACAACGAGGCCCACGGTACACGGAGCTGGCAGAGGATAAGCGCTGGCCCCCACACAAACAGGACCCCCTGATGCCCAGCCTGTCGAGGGAGGGAGGCTAAACAGCAGAGATGAGGAGGCCTGGGGAGAGGTCAAAGATGGAGATCAGTCAGTTCTGACTCAGTGAGCCTGCAGGACAGAGCAGGATTACTCTTTAGGGTTTCCGAGGGTGCCATCTTTATTGGCCACGTCTTTCTCCTGTGGAGCACGTGAACCACTGTGCCACCAGGCTCCTACCACCCTTTTTTAGTTTTTAAATGAAAACCGGAATAATTTCCAACAGAAAGGAACAGAATCTCTGTCACTGGCATGTAATTAACAAAGCAAAGGCCCCAAACTAAACAAAATCGAGAAACACTTTTTAGGTGTTTGATGGATTTCTGTGATGGAGGATGGGGAAGGGTGTATGGAAGGTGGGAAAATTCCCATCTACCAAAGATACCCCTTCCAGAATACCTAGTATCTTCCTTTCTTTTCTGTCAGTGACACAAGGTTGTATTCTGAGGAAACATTAACGTTTAGAAAAACAATAGTTTTCTGAGCTCTTCCGATTTTTCTACGCAGGTAAAAAATATGTGCCCCGGGCTGTCTTGGTGGACCTGGAGCCTGGGACCATGGATAGCATCCGGTCTAGCAAACTGGGAGCCCTCTTTCAGCCGGACAGTTTTGTTCATGGTAGGTGTGTCCAGAAACTGCAGTTTAGCAGGAAGAGACTAGGATGCCTCCTAGTGGTGCCTCCTCTCCCATATCACCCCTTACTTTGTGCAAGATAACTTTATTTAGTGGGTCCCACTGACTCGACTTCGAAGCAAAGCAACCCCATGTGACCGACTAGAGCAACCCCCATGGGGCTTTCTAGAACGTCATCTTTACTAAAGCAGATCACCAGGTCTTAATTCTGTAGAGCCACTGGGTGGGTTCCAATTGCCAACCTGTTGGTTAACAGTAAAATGCGTAACCATTCGAGGTCACTAATGGGGCTCCTCCTTTATGTCACAGGTAACTCCGGGGCGGGCAACAACTGGGCCAAGGGCCATTACACGGAGGGGGCGGAGCTGATCGAGAGCGTGCTAGACGTGGTGAGGGGCGAGAGCGAGAGCTGCGACTGTCTGCAGGGCTTCCAGATAGTGCACTCGCTGGGCGGGGGCACGGGCTCCGGCATGGGCACGCTGCTCATGAACAAGATCCGGGAGGAGTACCCCGATCGCATCCTCAACTCTTTCAGCGTCATGCCCTCGCCCAAAGTTTCGGACACGGTGGTGGAGCCCTACAACGCCGTGCTGTCTGTCCATCAACTCATCGAGAACGCCGACGCCTGCTTCTGCATCGACAACGAGGCCCTCTACGACATCTGCTTCCGCACCCTGAAGCTGACCACACCCACCTATGGGGACCTCAACCACCTGGTGTCCCTGACCATGAGCGGCATCACCACCTCCCTGCGCTTCCCGGGCCAGCTCAACGCCGACCTGCGCAAGCTGGCGGTGAACATGGTGCCCTTCCCGCGCCTGCACTTCTTCATGCCCGGCTTTGCCCCACTCACTGCCCGCGGCAGCCAGCAATACCGCGCCCTCTCGGTGGCCGAGCTCACCCAGCAGATGTTCGATGCCCGCAACACCATGGCCGCCTGCGACCCGCGCCGCGGCCGCTACCTGACAGTGGCCTGCATCTTCCGGGGCAAGATGTCCACTCGGGAGGTGGACGAGCAGCTGCTCATCGTGCAGACGAGGAACAGCAGCTGCTTCGTGGAGTGGATTCCAAACAACGTCAAGGTGGCCGTGTGCGACATCCCGCCCCGGGGGCTCAGCATGGCGGCCACCTTCATTGGCAACAACACCGCCATCCAGGAGCTGTTTACCAGGGTGGGGGAGCACTTCTCCGCCATGTTCAGGAGGAGAGCGTTTGTGCACTGGTACACGAGCGAGGGGATGGACGTGAGTGAGTTTGGAGAGGCCGAGAGGAATGTCCACGACCTAGTGTCTGAGTACCAACAGTTTCAAGACACCAAGGTGGTGGAGGAGGACGACGAAGTCACGGAAGGGTTGGAGGCCGAGCCAGGGGATGAGGGGCGTTAGCTCTCTGAGAAGCTGCGGGTTGCCAGTTTCTGGGCAGTTGCTTTCTCCCCTCTGGGGCCTGTTCTGCATTGCAGCATCATGGCTGGCACCGCTGGCTCTTTGTGGGGACACGGGCGGGCTGGGGGAGGGGCGGCTCCAACCGACAGGTCGGGGTGACAGCCAGTGCACACTGTTTTCTTTTAATAGCAAAGTGAGCTTACCATAAAGTGGTCTCTTAAAAAAAAAAAAAAAGTGTCCTAGGCATTGTTTGCGTAACACAATGCATCGGACTACACGCGTGGGTCATTGCCTGCTATCTGTGGGGTCTTAGGTCCTCCCTTCTTCATGAATTTCTAATAAATGACTTCTAATTACTGAACTGGAAATAACTTAGCTCTTGGCCTGTTAGTGGCTTTGTCTGTTTAGTACCTTGTGGTTTATCGATCCCTGTCCCCAGCACCCCATCCTGTTCCTGATCTCTGGAAACACAGGGTGACTGATGAGCAGACTGGGCATGTCATGATGTACCAGCAACTGCGGAGCTTGTGCAGACCTCAGGCCGCTGTCCCCGCTTCCACGATTCTGAGCACACAGGGACAAGTCAAACGGAAACCCACAGGGCACATTTGTGTTTTAAGTTTCTAATCAGTGCTGGGCTCCCGGAACTCATTAACGACTGTTGTGGCTCCTCTAAGATGCCCTTTTCACTTTCATTCAGCCGTCAGCCCTGCAGATGCTCTTTGAGAAAGGGCACCCGCGCGCTCGGCAACCGTGAACGTGTTGGAATGAAGCCGCGGCTGCTTACGATGTCCTTCCCAGGGACGGAGGACATGGTCTCATTAGGGGACTCTGACAGTTCAGATTAATTTGCAGAAGTCATCATCAGTGTTTGCATGGTAACACCGCTTTCACCTTTACACGGTCTGAATCTGTACACATTCCAACAAGACCAAATACACCAGGGCACAATCAGATCGGCCGCAACTTCCTAATTACAGCTCCCCTAGTGCTGATGCACAGCAGGGCTGTCTACGCCCTCCCCACTACCACCCTCCCAGAGCCATAAAGGGTTTACAGCCTTCTAGAATTGCCAGTGAGTTCTGGGGATTGATCCGTGGGCGATGGGAAGATGGGGCGCAGGCAGGGACCTGGGTTCTTGGGTCTGGATGTGAGTTTGGAATTTTTCATAGTCAAGGGGCTGCCTGTTACACCTAGCCTTTGAGAACACTCACTCTTCATGCAAGAATCACTGAAAATCACAGAGAAATGACAGCCTTGCCGTGGGCAGTGTGGCCCAGCCGCCTGTGGGCAAATGAAAAAAAAAACACACACAACAAAACAGACCAAAGAAAGAAGCAGAACCCATTGTTTTCAACACTTCCTACTTGTGGTTCAAGAGGCACTACAAACAAAAGCAGATTGATTCAGAAATGGCAGCTAGCCACCCCAGGTTGAAGTTCTTAACTTCCTCCTGGGATTATCTAAGAATGTAGACACTCGCTTCCTTCAGCACTCTCTCTCAAATCTCAAAAAGTAATTCAACAGATGCAAAGGAAGACAGAGATCTCAGTCTTAAAAACAACAAGCAAAAAAAAAAACCAAAAAAACCTGATTTATACGGCTGCAAAGATTTGTGTTTGCTCAATAGTAATCATTAAAGGAGAAAGAAAGACGATTTTAAATGGCTGTTGCTTTATTTCTGACGAAATAAATTCCTTTTATTGGAGCCTAACCGCCCCAGACTGATTAATTTGAGGAGTTAAAAATATTGCAAAATGTATCTCACCATCCTACTCTCTCATATGTTAGAAGTAAATTAAAAGAAGAAAAAGAACTAGAAATGGAGAGAAATTTGTCTCCTCTGGATTTTAAGTACTCAAGTTCTGGTTGCTACGGTGACGTGGCTGCAGCATAGCATTCAGAGCTGGTCCAACCCCTTCACTCCACACCCGAGGACACACGACCCTCGTAAAGACCAGGCAAGTGGTCTGACCAGGTCCCCTTACGACTTGGGACCCTGTCCTGCAGACTAGGCCCATAGGCTGGGGCGATGTAGGGAGTGGATCTCATGCACTGCCAATTCAGAACTTTTTTTTTTCTTCAGAGAAAAAGGCTCCAAGAGTCTTTGCTGGGCATCAACTGATGTTGTCTTCAGAGACTTTAATTCTCTCTTTACCAGAAGCCTCACCTCTCATAGCCTGTCTCCCTAGTAAATGACTTCTGTTTGCTGAACAGAAAGAACTCAGGCTTTTGCCCAGCCCTGGCAAGGGCCTGCTGCCCTGAAATCCAGCAGCCCTGCTCCTTGAACACAGGACGAGCCTTTTGCCTCAGGGGCGCTTGACCCACCAGGTCCCAGGCACTCTCTCATTGGTGCTGGGGCTCCTCTCTCACATCCTGCACCTGGAATGAATAAGACCTCAGCTTGAGTGGTGGGGCGGGTCAATAAGCTGCTTCCGGATGCTCTGGGCACAGGCATTTCCGGTAGCCCACCCTTGGACCTGCTGGGAGCCACCCTGAGGTATCCCCATGAGCTAAATTCCAGTGGGAAGTCAGCTAGTGCAGAAGCTGGACAGTGTTTTAAAAAAGTTCCCGCTAAAGTTTTCTCCAGTTAAAAATGCAGTAGTTAACCACAGTATTCTCCTTGACCCAGAGTTTCCAAGTTTCAGAGGAAGATACAAACAAAACCCTTGTAGTAATTCTTCATCACTAGGGCATGACCAAAGGAATGAATCACCCGGCAAACAGCACATCAAACCCTGGACCCGGTATGCAGCAGCCTTCCTTTATCACTGCAGCCTGGACCGTCAACGCAGTAAGTAAATGACCGAGCAGCTTTGGCTCATTTCCTGTAAGAGATGCTACCAGAATATAAAGAGTCATTTATCAAATACTGACCAAAGCATCTGCTGCTTCCGTGACGTGGAACGTCAGCAGCTCTGCTCGAGCATTTTACGTGCACAATCACAGCCAGGGCCAGTTTAGTGTTTGTTCTCCTCTGCGCTTCGAGCAGCGTGACCTGGAGACGCTGCTGTCTACACAATAGGACGGGCCGGGGGATAATGGCCCATCTGCTACTCTGACAGGACTTCTGTGACTCAAAGGTAAGGACAGTAGCGGGGGTGGACGCCAAGTCCGTGCCAGGAAACACAGCATTGCCCACTGGAAGCCCTCTTCAGAATGCTGTCTATGGCCCACCGGTCACTCGACACTAAACCCATCTGTCCCCTTCCCTTTGTCATAAAAACCCCCCACTCACTGATCAGAATCCTGCCATCATTCAGACAGTTCTTGTAGAGAAAAATGTCTGAGGACAGAAAACAAAGACCCAACAGCCAGGCGTGAACCAGACTTTACTTTATTGGCATTGTCAGGGTAGGGGCAAGAAAGGCACGCCCGCTCCCACCTCACAGGAGCGAGCTCATTTCCAACGAACACGTGCCCACACCTCTTCACCTTGGAGATGGGGCATTTCAAGCTTCAGTCAGGGTCTAGGAGGAAAAAAGAAAATGCAACAATTGCTAGTTCTTGGTTGTCTCTTAAACATGGCCAATACCGTCCTAACAGTTAACTGAATATTAGAACTGTGGCTGACACTCACGCTGTGCAAAGTGCTGGCTCCTGTGTTCAGCCCGAGCCCAACGGACAGACCAACAGACATTTCTCTGCTTCGGAAAATCAAACACTCCCTGAGCAATAAATGACTTTGCCTTCAAAAGATACAAAACCGCCTTCTGTACTGCCAATGGGGCAGGGGTCTCATCTCCAGTGGGAGGCCACAGAAAGGGGTCATTATTTTCTCAGTAGAAGCTGGACACGGCTTCGCAAGCCCCAAGGGCATCACAAAGTTCTGCGGCAGAGCTGCAGAGAGAGGCAGCGCCATTTTCTGTTAGCTCATGGCTCAAACAAAACCAGCCGACACCAAACCAGCTCCCATTACTGAGAGCTAGGAGAGTGGGCACAGAACCTTTAGGGCTCACTTTAAAAACACCCCATCTCCAGACTCTGCATAAAAGATTTAGAAATTCAAAATGAAAATGAAAAGGGCTCGGGGCAGTTCCAGTAAGTAACACGGTTCACAACCCCAAGCTGCCAAAGGCTTAATATTTATCACACTGCCTTGCTACTGCGGCTCTGAAGCTTTTATTAAAAAAGCAAAACAAGAAAATGAAATTGGGAAAACTTCTCTTCTATCATTTGCCTTCCTTATCTTTGGAAGGAACAATGTCAAGAAAGCAGTCTAGAGAAGCATCCCTTCAGCGGTCTGAAGCACAAAGCTCTCAATTCATCCAAAGTGGCTTCTTACTGGGAGACTACAACTCTGTATTGTAACATCTTCGGAGAAGTCAAATGCAACAAGCCCAGGGAAAGAATAAACGGAGTCAAACAGTACCCACTGCAGGGTCTGCAGATTTTCCTGCTGGATAACATAGGCGAACCCTCGCCTGTACTGCTAATCTGTATGTTCAGCAAGTAGTGATCTGTAAAAACATTTACAGAGGTGGGGGAAACAGAAATGCAGAGAACTATCATTTTTCATGTTACTGATGGTTATTCAACTCCAATAGCGATTCTAAAAGAGGGGGACTTTATCCTCCAAATTATTTGAATTTGTACAGACAAATGAAAGAGGCTTCATTAAAATACGATGGCTCTGTACCTAGGCATTGCTCAGTGAACTGAAAATCAATGTGCCAAGGACTTCTACTTGTCATGGTCTGGAACCACTTTCTCTTTACTAGGCCAGAGCTCCACAACTGGTATGCTTCAATTATCACCACTAACTTCTAACTGTACTGACTGATGGACAAAAGAGAGAGAACTCTAACTGAAGACGGCTTTAAGTGTTAAGGTGCTCTCAAACCAAACTTAAGATGCAACTTTTCCTCTAAAGAAATCAGTAACTCACAGATTATCATTCCTTCTTCACTTTCACAATTTTGACACTGTGGCCAGAAGTCTTCTCAGCGTTTGCTTTGAACTCGGTCTTCAGTGCATCCCTGACCGCTTTGGCACAGATCTGGGAGTAACGGATGTAGCTGTAGAAGAACGAAGAGAAAAACAGAAAGTTAACTCTCAAGGATTCAGCAAGACTGTTGTGTTGTTACACTGGGTTTTTGGTATTCTTCAATTTTGGTACGTTTTTACAGAGCTACATTTATAAATGACTGATACCAGAAGGAAACAAAGATTAGGAAGAAATGAACTAGGGTGTTGATTGGTGTTTGGTGGGTGATCTTCGGTTTCTCTTTTCTGTTCTGTGTTTCTTGATTATTAATGAAGTTGCACGTGTTTAAAAGAAAGGAAGAGTAAAAACCCCTAACACAGGATGGAAAGCAGACCAAAAGGGTATCTGAGATTATTAACAAAAGAGTTTTTCCTTCTCTCTCTTTTCTTTATTTAGTATCGCTAATTAATTGATTCTTACAAGGTAAGATCTATATACAGCCACACGTGTCCCTTGAAGTCCAGGGTTGTTGTGGTTGTTAAGTGCCGTCGAGTCGGTTCTGACCCATAACGACCCTGTATAGGGTTTCTGAGGGTGTAAATCCAGGGTATGTTCTGTGAAATTGGATGTTCTGTGATTTGGATGTTGTGCGGGCACCCTATCATCTAGGTGACCCACAGATGACAAATTCTGCTCGGCTGTCTAGAATTTATACAAGTTGTCACAGTTACGTGCAGTCAAATGTCTCAGCATATAGTACCGCTTTACGCGTTAAAATATAGCCAGACACACGAAAAAAGACTTGCGGATACACTAAGACACCTTTAAGGGAACACGGCAGCAACAGTTTTGATACGTGTCTTGCCAAGTAGCGCAGCTTTGCTAGTACGAACCATTGTTGTACTGGTAGCTCCGCAGCAGTGCACCGGGCAGTTAGGTGATGCTTTACAGGGATGGGGCCTCAATGGACACCACTAACTAAATACACTTCTTCCTCTGCTAACTGGTTCAAAGGCTTCCCTGAGAACATGATCAACTGCATAAAATCGCTAACAGCGTGCTTCCTGTTTCACAGACGTACTCCCACGTCCATGTCCCAAAAGATGTCAGCTCGTTTTTGACACTTTATGAAAACGGGAAAGGGAGGGCGTAGGCTGTTTTCTCAGGCTCTGGCGCAGGTTTGAGGATGACCTGGGTTCCCATCTGGCTTCCACTCTTGTCATTGAATGTCACCACGGGACGGTAGGGGTGTGTCACCTGCTGAGTCCGCGCACAGGTAGGGAAATCAGGTGTGCCACCTTACACCCACCGATGCCTCTCAGGACTCCAGGCACCCCTCGTCGTAGGGCTCCAGGGATCCACTTACCTGCGAACTCGAGCTTTACCTGCACGCACCTGCAGGGCGGGGTGGGCACATTGGCCCCGGTCCCCGGCACCTACGGGGCCGCAGAGCGAAGCCGACCCCTCGCGACCCCCGGACGGCCCGTCATTGCGCAGAACCGCCATCTTGGAGGCTGTCGGGGCCCGTCTGCAGG